TATATTACTATTAGCTCTGATAGAGACAGCAATTTGTAGAAATAGTTGGATAATTTTAAAATTAAGAGTATATTTATCTTGACCATCAATATTAGGTTGAGGATGTTCAAGAATATTTATAGTAGACCAAAGGTTGTTTTGAAGCTATTGTAATCTAATGCATATAGAAACACCTAGTAAATAGGAATCATTAATTCATTGAAAGAAGGTAGTAATATGGTGTTGTAATTGTATATTCCAAATATTATGTATATTGTATAGATAAGGATAGAGCATTGTACTATTAGGGCAAGCTAAGATTTGTATTTAGCAACTGTAAGGTATTTGGCCAGTATACAATTACATATAGTTTTGGGAAGAATAATATTATATATTCTGTATTCTAATATTGGGATTATAATTGTATTAATAATATAAGTAATTTGTTTGTCTGTAATGTTTTTTGTATTTGTAGTATTAATTAGTTGAAAAACTTCTTCTTGAATTAATTTGATTGTATGAGTTTGTTTGTTGTTAAGTATAAACCAACAACCTAAGTATTTGAAAGGTTGACTATTTGGAATAGAGTTGATAATGAAGTTAAAAAAGATAATAGAAATAGGTTTGGTGTTTGTGCTAAATATTGACTTGGTAGGATTGATCTAAAAGTTGGCTATTTGGTAAAAAGATGCTACCATTTGAGTAATTTGTTCTAAGTTATTTTTGGATTGGGCAATCCATAATATGTCATCTATATAAGCAAGAACTGAGATAGAAACTTGAAGATGTTGATATCAAGAAGGTTGTAGACTGGTTTTTTATGATGTTAAAAGAGTATACCCTGTAAATTGAGATGCGATTCTGTGTATAAGAGAGTCATAGTAAATATGCCAAAATAATGGTATAATTGTTTCTTCTTGATCAATTCTATTTTTGACAGAATATGAGTTTGTGAGTCCAAGATTAGTTATAACTCAGTTGTGGCAGTCATCAAGCAAATTAGTAAGAACTTCTATTAATTTAAGTAGCATGTTGATTCGTATTAGAGATTTACAAAAAAGATCAAAGTTTACTGAATCATAGGCTTTGTTCATTTCTTGAGATATAAACCAAAGTTCTTTGGAATTGCAAGAAGCTTCTTCAATTATATTGTTAAGTATATGAATTGGTATTGCTGTACTATTGCCAGGAAGAGCAATATAGTTATAAGAAGATAGTATTGAATGTGAAGTAAAAGTAGTGTTTAAGCGATTGGTAAGAAGTTTGGTGTATAATTTTTTAATATGTTCTAAAAGACTAATAGGTCTGGTATTAGTTAAACTTCCATCAAAGATAGGTGTTTTGGAGATAAGAAATATTCTTCTTTCTTTCCATTGTTTAGGTATACTGTTGGTTGAAATGCATCTGTTAAATAGTGCAGTTATAGCTTAGAGAAATAATAAACCTGCATTTTTAAACATTTTGTAACTTATGCCTGAAGGGCCACAAGCTTTCTTATTTGAGAGTTTTACAAGTGTAGTAGAAATTTTTTCTTCAGAGAATTCTGCTAATACTTCTTGATACCATTCAGAATGAATGTTTGTTTTAGGAACACAAAATTTTATTAATAATATATTTAGTTAATAGTTACATTACAACCACAGAAGACAATCATAAAAAAAAAAGTACAACTAGCTACTTATATAACTTTAATTATTATCTAATTTAAGTAGTCTGCCCAAAGTTTCTACATTAATTGTCATATCTGAAACCTGCTTGTAAGTTTTTTATTTAAACATTCTAGTTTCTATATTCACCTTTATTATAATATTCCTTCCAATTTTTAGAAACCTAAATTGTATTGTATCCAGAGTATTATAGGCAGATTTATTAAAAATGATGATACTTGGAATGTAAAATACTCTTTTTGCACCACTTATATGTCATGATATAGATTTTTTTCATAAATATATGAGATTAAATTGGTAATTCTATTTTTTAAAAAAATGGCCGAATCTAGAGGATCATTTTCGCTAACCATAGTATCTCTCCGACTATAATATCCTTATATACAGCTTAATTGTAAACCCTGGGTAGTTTAGACACGCTATATGGTAATTAAATTTTGTTGACTTGATATTTCTCCAGGTTCAGTAATCTGTGTTGTCTTTTGTGCTTATTAATTTTAAATATGAATCTAGATTGTTATTTTCTTTTTTTTCATAAAAGTCATTTTTGCACTGAGGATATTTATTTAAAAGAGTTGTCATCTTTAAGAAGAAAATTTATTCGATGTGATATTACTATATAAATTAGATCAAATGTAATATTAAAAAAAAAACATTTCAATAAATCAACTGATTATTAATCAATTTTATAAAGGGGTTATATTTGACCAGTAAAAGTATAATCACGTGTTTAGTGTGATAATAGCATCTCAGCATGAAATAGCGATAGCATTACTAGCTATTTGCTAGAAAATAGCGTTATTTTAGATGCTATCAAATCTACTGTCTCTGCATTCAATGACGGTATTATCCAGATTTAAACAATTCGCATTGATCAACAACTAGCTAGTTAAACTAGTTTATGTGGTCAGACTGGTTACGTTAAAGTACAAGTGTGAATGTTAAAATTGCGCTTTTTATATCGATATATTACAAGTTAACTAATACATAATAGTACATAATAATGCTAATTAAGAAACATAAATATTGATGCATCGAAACATAACTTTTGTGCGAAATATTAAATGCTCTTTGTAATGATCCAGATAATTAGCCGGTTATAACTGGAATTTATCCGTATTTAATGTTACTATTTTTTATTTTACTCAAGAGCACACCTCCAATAAATCTTCAAGTGGGATTTTTCAATATGTCCATCCAAAAACTTGATATATAAGCTTATATAATATGAAACTGGTATTTCCACACTCATGTCGGATCCTGCCACTCGCGAGCATCATTTTCAAATTTACTTACACTTAATTTTCATTCTCAGGTTATGAAGCTATCGCTATAAATTGATCATAAAGGGCTGTTTCATGTTTTGAGATGAGTGATGATTTACATATATCTTGAAAGTTTATTGGCTAAAGAACAAGAGCAAGGGGTGTGAAAGTATCTAGTACGTACTTACTTTACCATTATAGTCAAGCGATTACTCGGGTAACTTATTTATACATCTTAAAGTATTTTTGAAAATGTAACATTTCATTAATAAAAAATTTACTGTAACAACCACTTTTAGCTTAAAACGAACGTTAACATTCAATTTGCAAAAGAATCAAAAAGGATCATACTCCTGACTTACTTTGCTTACATGACTATTTATTGCTAGTACTCAGAGATGGCAATGACCCAATGACAAATGACTTATCATTGGTCATTTCAAGGCCTTAGTTGGCACCCAAGAAATCTGTGGCGGTATACAATCCATTTATGTTCCTGTAGAATCGTATATGACATGATATTGATATTTGATTTGATATCATGTGACTACCTCAAGAATAATCTTAACGCAAAGGGCATCATTCTTTTGTTTCACAATGTTCTAAATTGGTTAAAAAAACCAATCCAATGCAAAATATACATTAATACGGTCATGTGTTAACGTTAAGGAGAACAATGGAGAAAATACTGCATTTTTTATATCCCAGTTTTATGTATTCAATCGAATTGATTGCATATGACTTTTATAAATACTCCGGAGCTGCTAAACCCAAAATGACGTCTTAAGCACATCCTCATAAAAGGTAAATTAAAATCTACATATAGTAATGTAATTAGCAATTTTGCATACGTACATACCTAAAAATTGATAATATGCATACCTTATCTATTATTCTTCATTATGATCGTTAAAAAAAAGGTAACTTGATATTGTTATAATTCAATTGTTTATACTAATTTAGTTGTCTAAATAAATTTTGTGCATTGGCTTAATATTATTCTTAACTCTTAGGATTGTTTCAATATATGCAAATCTGATATTAAGTTCCTCACTTATTCTATTACTTTAACATTTAATGTTATATACAAAAACGAAGTTATTCTTATATAAATCGTATGGGTACTTTTTTATCTGATTATAGTAATAAGTTTCGCATGCTGGCAGCGGAGAAATATCCTTGTATATTTATTTTATGATAATAAAAAGAAACTTTCATTTAATTCCTTCTTTTATATATACACATATATATATATACATATATATGCATATATATATATATACATTTAATCAATCGTAACTACATTATATGGGTAACGAATTGTCACGTAAAATCTCATACAAAGAATCTACAGTTAAAAAATCTACAACTCGTCACACCACCATCCTTACCATCCATCGTAGAAATCTGTCTTCGAACTCCTCAATGTATACTCACCGTGACCTTCAACAGTCACCTCAACCCTCCCAAGTAAAATGTCGACACTTTCTCCGTTTTTTTGATAACCAAAGATGGCGTAAGACATGTACAATTAACGGTTGGACGAGCGGTCTTAAGGATCTCGATAAGCTAATTCAAAAAACTCAACGTAAAGCCACTAAGTGGACTGATAATTACTTAGAGTGGATTGATTTTGATCAATTTGAAGATATTAAAGAGATCGGTGAAGGCGCATATAGTGTGGTTTATGAGGCTATTTGGTTGAATGGTCGAAGATGCAAAAGAAAAAAGGGTGACAAGGGAAGACGATGTACAAGAACTGAACCTATTAAAGTTGTATTAAAGAATATTAAGGATTCTAAAAACATGTCAAGTTATTATCTTAAGAATGTAAATATTTAATTATTATGAAATTTATAGTTTATGATTATATTCATCTAACGAACGCATTTTATGCACTTATAGTTAAAAGAATACTATCGATACAGTGCATTAATATGTCCGCAACGAATTCAAAATTATTTAGAATTTTATGGCATAACGCAAAACCCAACTTCTGGAGAATATATGCTAGTAATCCAACATGCAACTTTTGGGAGCTTACGTCAATTCATGCATTCTACTCCCTCCACCTTCGCTTCCTTCAAATGGATCGAAAAACTTTGGTGGTTATGTGATATCGTTTCTAATCTCACTGTAATTCACAAATCGCGCTATATTCATGGAAATTTACATACTGGTAATATACTCCAGCTCGGTGTGGACGAACGAGAGACTTATTCTACAATCGCAGATTTAGGATTGTGCATACCAGCTAATAGTATTTCATCAGTAGCCACATGTGAGAAATCGTTAAAAGGTAATAATTTAGTGTATGGTGTGTTACCATTCATTGCTCCAGAAGCTTTTCTAGGAAATCCTATTAGTGAATGTTCGGATATCTACAGCGTTGGAATTATTATGACTGAAGTTGCAACTGGCAAGCTACCGTTTGGCGATGTTGCACATGATGAAAAATTGGCTTTTGAAATCTGTTATAAAGGGAAAAGACCACAGATTCCAAGCGCACTTGCACCGAAACGTTTTAGGGATTTGGTTCAACGATGCTGTGACCCGGATCCATTGAAGAGACCTACTGCTAAACATTTGAAATATATTTTCAATCATTGGTATCAATGTGCAAATGGGAATTTGAGACATGACTCTAAGTGTATGAAGATCATGAACGAATTTTTAAGAGCTGATGATCAAGCTAGTATATTATTTCAAGAAAATAGGATGTTTGAGCAAGAGAAAGAAATGAAGGAAAAAACGTGGTTCACAAGTAGATTGTTAAATTTCAAGTTGAATAAGGACTCTATTATTGAAATGACTGCTTCAACAGAAATTATGTAGAAATCTCAACAAAAACCACAATGAGCCTTCTAATAGTGGTAACTAGTTTCGTCTATTTTTATTTAATAATTTATCTTTTTTCATTATTAAAGTTCGATCTCATTCTTATTGTGTAGAGCCTTGAAAGTTTGCGCTAGTGAAGTTGCAAACCATTATCAAATTTGAAGCAATTTAGCTGACCCAATATATACTATATACTTTATAAGTTATGCCATTCCGATAACTATTATACATATAATGGTGTCTTGAATTGGATATTTACTTGGTGTTTTTAAACTTTACAAAAAGCTATACTGATTAATAACAATAATAATAGGTGTATCCGTACGTCTTATTATGTGACAATTTACAAGTAATCTATGCTAAATTGTCACGCTAAATGACCGCCTGTATTGCTACCGTTAATTTTAGTTGCCTGATGCTCAAAGTAAAAAATGCATAGCATCGTTCGAACGCTTTTCTTAACTTTAATATTAGTCTCTAATATTACTCTAAACTGTTAATCATAATTCTAAATTTTAGTGGTGAAATTATTGTCACAGTTAATACTGCGATTGGCTGATGTTAATGTTTGATTAAATTATATAAGGGGTAGCATTAGTAAAAAAGGTGGCAATTAAATCTCTAAATAATATATAATAATATATAATAAATATAATGTATAATAAATAATATATAATAAGAAGTTTGGGTTTCATAGTTTAGTAATTAAGTTTCCAAATATCTACAAACGCGCTTAACAATCTAAACTAAAAATAAAAAATATTTTGTAATTAAAAATGAAACTATAATTATAATTTAAAAGATTTTGTAAAGTACACGAATGTTCATGTATTTTCACATGATAACGAGCCAATCAAATCATAAGTTTTAAAAGAATAAAAAAATACAAAACGAAGCTATCTCTTAAACTGACAATTTAACTACGTATTTACTACAATTTAAACTACAATTCAATATAATTTGATAGCTTAATCACAGATCAATCATGAAATTTCCAGGCAAATTTGCCTGGAAAACAGTTTAAGAGATAAACGAATTTAATTACATATTTTGCCACCAAGTAAGCAAATGTATCTTTATTTCGTTTATTAATTAAATATAAACATACTTCAAATCATTACAATATAGAAAACCAATAATCAACATCTAATTCTATATCAAATATAATTCAAAACCCGATATATATGTATATATAGATCGTCTCATCACTTCTGATACATTATATTTTATAAAATAAATTAAGGAAATTAACATTTTTCACACCCTTTTTTGATATTGCCACACTCCTGCTAACTCTAAACCTACCAAACCTCTAATAAACTATATTAATGTTTATTAACAGGGATGTGGCAATATCAAAAAAGGATATGAAAATATCAATTTCTTAAATTAAAAGGTTTATTAATAATATTAAATTTAATTAAAGTTATTTTAAATTATACTTTTAGGATTATATTAAAAATTATTATATTTTTTTTTGTTTTTGCTAAAGTTAATGTTAATGGCAGTTATTGTTTTTATTATAATTTTAATTATACATTATAAATAACTTGTACAAAATGAGTATGCAACTAGTTATATATGTAACTTTTGGTTACCTATTTAAGTAGTCTGTTTATAGATTCTATACTAGTTGCTATACTTATAATCTATTAAGAGATTACCTATTTAAACATTCTGATCTTTATACTGTATTAGATAAATAGTGTTGGTTCTTGTATATTTAGGTGTTATCTAACCTAATATTTAGTTTCTTTTTTTATATAATTATTAAAATATTATTTGTTTTAGAGCATGTTACCTAATTATAAGGTTTAGAATGTTTCTGTTAACTAATTTGCTTATTTTATAATCCATTAATAGAATTATGTTTTTGCAAAGTTTACTTAGACTCTAATACTAATTTTATAGCATATTCTTAGTATTTTAATATATTTTGTTTTGTTCTCTAATTTCTAATTTAAATAGTTTGTTAAAACTGTAATCTGTTATTAATATATTAAGTTCAGCTTGATATCTTTTTTCTTTAGTCTAAATTTTAATAATTTAATTAATAATACTCTTATCTAAAGTTTCTTATTTATCTAATTTCTTCATATTAGTATTTATCTCTTAGATTTAGTTCTTACAGTAATATTATTAAAAATCTATATTATTTTTTTATTTAGATTTTCTTAAATAGGTTTCTGTTTTTAGTTTTACAAATTTATATAACTACAAAGATTTATTTTAGACTTGCACTATCTAGTACTAGTTTGCATTCTTTTATATAACTAAGATTATACAAATGTTTTATAATTTGGCAATCATGCTAATGTAACTATAGTTACAAATATCCTATTCTAGCTGATTAATAGAAAACATTTATTATAATATAAATAATTTTTTAAATTTTTACTATTAGTAGATTTTGAACTTTCAATCTACTATTTAAAAAAACTAACTTATTTATTTTATTAAGTTATTACATCTTTAAAATTATATTAAAAATAAATTTATTAAATATTAATTAAATATTTTTTCTTATCAATTTACAAATTTATAAAAAATATTTAAATTATAATTTTTAATTTATATTTTTTATTATTATACAAACTATATTTTGTCTAAAAATAAAAATATATTTTATATTATTTTATTTTTTAAACTATAAACTATTTTTAGGTAAATTTGTTTAGAAAATTAATAAAAATATACTTATAATTTATATTTTTTAAATTTTAAAATATTTAAATAAATTTTGTTTTAATAATATTAAAAATAAGAATTATAATAGTAATATTTAATTTTATATTATAAAAAAAAAGTTTATATTACTTATAAGTTATAAATAAATAAATTTTAAAAAACTTTTTAATCAAAAACATTATTTACTAATTCTTAACAAACTCTTTAAATATTAATTTAAAACTTATAGCTTTTAATATAATATTATAACTTATATAAAAAATAATATCTTTTATTAATACAATTTTTTAATTTACTTATAAAAATTCAAACTTATATTAAAAATAAGTTTTATTTAGTTTTAAAAATATATAAAATTTTGAAAAGTTTAAAAAAATTATTTTAATAAAAATTTTTAAATAAAATTTTTAAATTTTTATTGCTTAAAAATTTTTTATTAATTTTAAAAAAAAATTTAATTAAGTTTATAAAGTATATTTTTAATAAAATATTTTATAAATAAACTATATTCTATGTTATTAATAATTTTTTAAATTATTTAAAAAATACTAAATTTAATTTAAAATTCTAAGCAAATTTGTTTAAAAATAGTTTAAAAAATAAAATAGTTTTTTTAAATTTTCAAAAAAATTTATTTGAATAATTTATAAATAAATATTTATAAATATAAAAAAAAATACTACAATTAATCTATAGTAATTATTATTATCTATTTTTTTTAGAGTTAGAATGCAATTTAAGACATAAACAAGAATTAAATATAATAGTTCAGATTTTAGAATATATGAAGTTTTTAAACTTCTAAACATTTTTACTTAATTTATCTAACTTTTGTTTTTTAGTATAATTTTTGAAATATAATATTCTAGATAATAATTACTATAGATTATAGTTAGTAATATTTTATAAAAATATAGTAAATTTTATATATATAAAAGAAGAAAGCATATATACTAACTAACTACTAAAATTATATTTATATAACAAATTATAAAATTATTAAGTAGATAATTAACAGACAGAAGGTATAGTAACTTAGTGAAGTAGTCAAATTGTCAATCTTCAAAGTGGTAAGTTAAGTATTTAAATCCTATTAACAATGAAATTTTGAATAATTATCTATATAATATTTATATTATAACAACTATTACTAATGATTAGATTAGAATATCTGTAATGCAGTTATATTAGCATGACTGACAGTTTATAGAGCATTTGTATAGTTATACAGAGAAATAAAAACTGACAATTAAATAGTATAAACACTAGATAAGTCCTTATAGTTATGTAAATCTGTTAAAATTAAATAACAAAAAGTCTATTTAAGAAGATCTAAATAAAGAAATAGCTAGATCTTTAATGACATTACTGTAAAAACTAGTTTGAAAAAATAAATACCAAGGTTATAGTACTTAAATAGGCAAGAATCTCTAGGTTGGAAAAGGCTGAAGGTATCACCAATCAAATTGCTAGAATAAACCAAAAGAAAAAAATATTGAACTAACCTAATATACTAATGAACTAGTTGTAGTCTTACACAGACTATCTGAATTATAAGTCTGAACAAAAAACAGGAATATACTAAAGTACTGAGGTTATGCTATAAAGTAGATACTAGAATTTAAATAAACTTTACAAGAGCATAGTAGTTGAAGACATAACTTTGATCACAAGTATTGGTTCTGTTATAATAATATCTAAGTTAGCTATAAAAATAAGTACAAAAGATTCTAGAAGGTTTATCTTAAGAATAAAATAGTCTTAAAGTTAAGACAATGATCTGGATATCTGAATATAATTTAGTAATATTAATACAGATTGCAGATTTAAAAGATTTAAAATGAACTACTCAAGCAGGAGTGTTAGATATGTCAATTGGTAAAAAACTTTTAAGCAGACTTCTTAAATAGATAATATAGAAAAGTTATATATATAGCCAATTATATACTCTTTTATAATAATTCATAGAATCATATTATTAAAAAAGTCATTAATAAAAGTCAAAAGGCCAAAGAGATCACTTTAATACTAAAAAAAAAAATTAACAAACAGATAATTAAAAGATTTAAAATAGATAATTTTTTAATAAATTATAAATATAGCATTTAGTATAGAACTCTAAGACAGATTATTTAAATAAACAACTAAATATTACATATATAGTTAGTTATACTCTTATTTTTATAAAAATAGACATAAAACTAACTCTATATATATTAATAAAATAATTATTATAAAACATAATTTTTAATATAAAAAAAAATTAATAAGAAGTATAACAATATAATAAAACAAAAAGGTTGTTAATC